CTGGGAACCCCTCTAGAGTCAAGTCTCTTGCCAACCCGAAAATGGCTCCCTTAAGTAAGATATTTACTTCCCTGATCCCATATCCACTCTTCCTCCATCCCACACATTCCATTCTTCTAAGCTCTCCCCACTCCTCCCCTTCTCCCTTCTCTCTCCCCATCTCCCCTTACACTCCCCCCACACCGTGCACCCAACTTTTGCCTGGCAATCTTGTCTACTTCCAATATCTAGGAGGATAACTATATGATTTTCTTTGAGTTCACCTCCTTATTTAGCATCTCTAGGATCACGAATTAAAGGCTCAATGTCCTTTATTTGTGGCTAGAATCCACTTCTGAGTGAGTATATACCACATTCATCTTTTTGGGTCTGGGTTATTTCACTCAGTAAAACGTTTTCTATTTCCATCCATTTGCATGCAAAATTCAAGATGTCATTGTTTTTTTACCATTGAGTAGAACTCTAAAGTGTATATTGCCATACCTTCTTTATCCATTCTTCTATTGAGGGGCACCTAGGTTGTTTCCAGGTTTTGGCTATTACAAATAGTGCTGCTATGAACATAGTTGAACAAATGCTTTTATAGTATGATTGGGCATTTCTTGGGTATATTTCCAAGAGTGGAATAAGAAGCCAAGGACAATGGCACTGGGTTTTGATCCTACTGCATGGACTGGCTTTGTGGGAGCCTGGTTTGTTTGGATGCTCACTTTCATAGACCTGGGTGGAGTGGGAGGACCTTGGACTTCCCATGGGGCAGGGATCCTTGACTGCTCTTAGGACTGGAGAGGGAGAGGGAGGGGAGAAGGGGGAAGGAGGTGGAGAGGAAGTGGAAATTTTTAATAAATAAGAAAAAGAAAATATGAAGATGTAATAAATTCTTATATAGTGCTGGCTCATTTAGAGATTACTAGTTTGAAGAAGAATGACTCTAATATTCTCATGCATTTGAGTGATTGGACATTGGTGAGCAGCATTAATTGAGAGGGATTGGAAAGTATGGCCTTTTTGGACTACATGTGACCTTGTTAGAGGAAGTGTATCACTGGAAGGGTTTTTTTTTATATACAGTCCTTTTTAATTTTATGTAACTAACCCCATTCCCACTTCCTCCCTTCCTCCATTTCCCCAACCCACCCCCATCCACTTCTCAGAACGGGTAAGGCTTCCACTGTTGAGTCAGCAAAGTCAGACACTTCACTTCCAGGCAAGATCAAGACACTCTCCCCCTTTAGCTAGACTGAGCAAGTATTTCTCCAAAAAGAATGTGCTCTAAGACACCAGTTAAAGCGTTAGGGAAAGATTCTGGTCTCACTGCCAGTAGTTACATAGACTGCCCATGTCTCACAACTAACCCCCACATAAGTGGTCTTAGTATGGTCTGATGCAGGCTCTGCTGCTTTCAGTTCAGTGTCAGTGACCTCTCACTAGCTCAGGTCAGCTGTGTATATGGGTATCACCATTCTGGTTTTAACCCCTTTGCTCATATTATTGAAACTCCCGCGACTGGTCTCTGGTAACTTGGCTCAGTGCTTTGCTGTAGATTTCTGTATCTGCTTCCATCAGTTGCTGCGTGAAGGTTCTAAGATGACAATTAGAATAGTCCTCAGTCTTAAAACATTTGAAATGTCATATTCTATAGATCTTTGAAGTGTTGAAGATTATCTATCTAACCGAATTACATCACTGTGTATCTAGAAAACCTTTCTAACATGACTACAAGTTTGACTATTATAAATAACTATCAATCTGCATTTTAAACTGTGTATTAAATCTTTAAATAAACCTTAATATCTTAAGAGCAGAAATATAAACATACAAATTTGTATCAATAGACCAAAGTCCATACCAATGTAAAGTATTCATCTCTATATCATATCTCACTTTAAATGAAAACAAATGTTTATAAACAATCATTTTGGGGGAATTAGGGCATTGTTTTCTCCAACCTTCTTTCTGATGTTTTTTTTTTTTTTTTGGCAAAACTCCTTCTCTAACGCTTGGATAATGGAATACTGAGTCCCGCCAGGCTTATTGAAACAGAGACCTTGAAATCTAGCATTTGGTTTGTCTGTAATAGAAACAAAAGCCTTGTTGTAAGAATATCCTTTACTACACCTTCCTGATTCTGGCTTATTGTCCAGGCACAATAGACAATGTTTATTCTGAGAAAACTCTTTAGTAAAGCAGATGGAAGTATATACAGAGACCCTTATCCAGAAAATATGCAGAGAGTGACAGATCTTGGGACACTCATTCTACATAGGATGTCTCCAACAAATTCCTACCCTCAAGGCTCAGGGAAATTTATGAAAGAGTGTAAGGGCCACAGATTATGGAAGACACCAAGGAAGCAGGTTTTCTACACACAGGAGAACAGAGGCATAGATGAACTCGCCGAGACTATGACAGCAGGCACAGGGCCTGTACAAATGATGCCCCTACCTAGAGAGAAAGTGAACACAACTCATATCCCTAGCACAGAAGTTCTCTCCCATTGATAACCACTTGTAAATGAAAAGTTACTTTTCTCTATCAGTGTCCCACTTGGTACAAAACTACACTTTTTTGGGGTCATTGACCTCTTGCAATATTTTTCTTAAATTATTTCACTTATTTTACACACTGACTACAATTTCTCCTCCCTACTCTTCTTTCTTTCTTTCCTTCCCACCTCCCATTTACCCTCCTATACACTCCTCCTCTGTCTCAGAAAGGGACAGGTCCCCATCTTCAGAAATTGTCAGGCCTCCGATGGGCATCAACAAAGCATGGCATATTGAGTTGAGCCAGGACAAAGCTTCTTCCCTTGCATCAAGACTGGATGAGGCATCCCATTATAAAAGCTGATGTGGGAGGGCCTTCTTTCTATATGTTGCTTTTATTGGTTAATAAATAAAGAACTTCTTTGAGCCTATGGCAAGGACAGAACAGAACTCAGATGGAAAAGCAAGACTGTATGCTGGAAGAAAAAGGGCAGACTCAGAAGCCATTGAGCCACTGGAGATAGACTCAGGGAACTTTACCCAGTAAAAGTACATGGCAATATACAGATTAATAAAAATGAGTTAAATTAATATATAAGAGTTGTCTAATAAGAGGCTAGAGCTAATGGGCCAAGCAGTGATTTAATTAATACAGTTTCTGTGAAATTATTTCATGTCTAAGCTAGCCGGGTGCAAGGAAACCAACAAGCAGCCTCTCTTCTCCAACAAAAAGTTAGCTAAATAATAATAATAGTAATAAGGAGCCAATCACAAATTTGTATTTAGTATATGAAACTACAGAAAGTCTAATTAATTTTCAGTACAAGGGAACATATACCTGCTTACCTTGGCACAGATGGGAGATCAAGGGTTAGAAAAGAACTTTGGGTGTTAAAAATAATTTTCCTGTTAAGTTTTAATTGTTCTCTTAGGGTTTCTATTACTATGATGAAACACCATGACTGAATCAATTTTGGAGGAAAGGGATTGTTTTGCTAACATTCCAAATAACAGTCAATCACTGAAGGAAAGCAGACAGGCACTAAAACCTGACAGGAAACGGGAGGCAGAAACTGATGAAGAGACCATGTAGGAGTGCTGGTTACTGAAAGCTCTCCATGGCTTGCTCAGCTCCCTTTCTTATAAAACTCAGGAACACATGTCCAGGGATGTCACCACTCACAATGTGGGCCCATTTAATCAGTCACTAATTACGAAAATTCCTTATAGGCTTTTGTACAGCCAAATCATATTGAGGCACTTTCTCAAATGAGGTTCTCTCACCTCAGATGTATCTAACTTGTGTCAACTTGACATAAAACTAGTCTGCCCAATGATTCTTGAAGAGATATATGTAGTTTGTAAAATTCATATTACATAACTTACAATGAGTATGTTTTGTTACATGTATTCAACAAGGTAAATTTTGAGATTTTTATTGTTAAGGTCTGAAAGTAGACATCACAACTCAATACCAATTTTAGATCTAAAGGACATTACAAGTGAAAGCACTGATGATAGTGAATGTGAGGAAATATTGACAGAGATGTGAGGTAGAAAACTGACAAATATGAATATGGGCTATGGAATAGATCACATTACTTGGTATATACTAAATTTCCTGAGTTGTACAATTTTAGTATGAAACTAAAAAAATTACTTGTCTCTTGAAAATATTTATGAGTAGTTTAGTTTTATTATTACCATCAACATTATTATTATTGTTCATGAAAAGTCTCAATCTGTAGCCCTCAACTACCTCGAACTTCCTATGCAGTCTATTCTGTACCCAAACTCATATACCTGTAAGAAAATAAGTTTGAGCCATAACATTCAGTTGACATTAATTAATATTGTTGTATCTGTGTGATCCCAACTTATGAGCAAATAATAGAGACCAAGAGATAGAGAGACCAAGAGAAAGAGGGGGGGAGAGGGAGGGGATAAGAACACATAAGCACTATGGATGGTTGTATGAGTTCCTTGAACTATCCTGGCAACTATTTGTCAAATCTGGGAATGCATTTTACAGCAAACTAATGTTTCTTAAAAATAAGTTCTACATTCAAACAATACCAAGCCCTAACTAACAAGTTAACAAACAGAAACCCACAATTGCACCCTGTTTCTTAATTGTGATGTCAGAGCAGTGGGATAGAAATGGTTTATCCTAGTGGGAAGAAGATGTGTGTCCTGTTTTTCAAGCTTCTGTATTTGAAACCATATCTCAGTCAGGAAACAAAGACACTGATTCCTCAGGGCTGGAAACAAATGGTGTCCGTTCTCCAGACATCATGTGTTGTGTTTACAGGAAGTAACTGTGTTAATTCATGTTTCAGAAGAATATTTCTTGCCTTTCTTATCCATTAATCTGTTTTCTCAGTTGATCGAATCTTGTGGTTAAGACACTCAATCATTAAGTAGTCACAAATCATCACATGAAATCAAGAAAGATGACAAAAGTTCAATTTTTTTTTTTACTTTTCCTCCTTACTGCACACTGAATCAGGTTATTTATCCACTCTCTTTTCACAGATGCAGGGGTAGTTTCTACCACAATCGTCAGTGAGTATTCCTCTATAACTGAGAAATGCACAGCCTCCACTTCTCTCTAATGATTTCACTGTCATCAAATCACTGTAAAACAAAACATATAACCGGCAATTATTAAACTTTGAAGCATATATTAATATAGGCAATGATTCTAAAAACAAAGGTTATTGGCCAATATACATAGAATGTAGAATCCATTGTAAGTGTTTGATTAAAGGTTTTTTATTTTCTCTAACATCATAAAAGATGGCCTTATCCTGGTGCCATGAGTTAGTAGATAGAAGTCATTGCTAACAAACCTGACTACCAGAGTTTCACCCTCAGATACCACACAGAAGAAGTAGAGAAGTGACTCCTTCAACTGCACTCTAGCTACAGAGGTGCTGGAATATGATCACACAAATGCACATGCTTCCACACAAAAATAAAAATTGTAGTTAAAAAATAAATAGAAAAAATGTTTCTTGATCATAATTCTATTCTTCATCTATTCCACACTGTTAATTTTTTCATCATCACATAGAATTAAGTTCTAGGATCACTAAGAAATAATTTGCCACTAAAGTTGATTTTCTATGATGCTTTTTCAATAAAAACATTTAGAAAACAAGAAAAATGAATGTATGTGACAAAAGGACAGGATGTCATGGCTTGAGCAACACAGAGTTTTAACCAGGCTATCCTGATGAGAATAGCATCAAAGAATAGTCAGCAGAGAATGAAATTCACAGAACTCCATGGGGCTGAGAGGACAAACTGATAAATCTTCAACAAAAGATAACCTTCCTTGAGTCCTATATTTAACCAAGGTGGAAATAGAGTATTCAGATTTACCATAGAAATAGAAAAGGAATATAAATGAAACTACATGACCTATGGATCATAGACAAAACAGGTAAGGTACAGTAGGAGTGAGTATACAAATTAGTTAGCTAGGAGGTAAGATTATTTACAATCAATAAAGTATGTTTGTTGAACATGGGCAAAGAGGAAAAGATCCAGTAGACTTTACTTTTCACAATACACACATGGAGCACATATTCTGCGTCATGAGCTCTTTATTTACCTCTATGTTCTTTAGCCAAAGAGTACAAGTTAATCTTATAACTTCTTGCTAGGATCATTAGATGCTGACATTGAAACAGATGTCCATGTTACTGCATCTTTCCACTAGAAAAAAATGCATGTGTAAGTCACAGAAAACTTCTGACCCCTAGGCTTCCTTACTGAAGCCTCAAGCCTGGCCCTAGTTACCATACCATCATCAGAGAACAGTTCTGCACATAGTCAAGGTCCACAAAGATCTCTTAACCTGGGTACAGGCATACTCTCAACCCCTGGCACCTCACTCTGAATGTTACCATCTGCCCATTTCATTCTGTATGGTTGATACCTTTCAAAAGAAAAGGGACAGGACAGGCACTTGTAGTCCTAGCAACTAGGAGATGGAGACATAGGATTAGGATTTCAAGGAAAGCCTTGCTGACATGAATCTCTATTAAAAACAAAAATAACAATAATTCAAATAAATTTTAAATTACATTAAAAGCAACTTAAAAGCATAACTAGTTAGCAAATTTATTTATGGAAAATCATAAAATTCCTAGGGGACAAATTTCAGCATTTCATATTTCTAAAGGCATCAGTAAGCAGGAGGAAGAGTAAATGTGTGATATGAAAATAGAGGGAAAATTTCTGAGGAATAAAAGATCAAATGGGGTTGGAATTGGAGGAAAGGGGACAGGAGAGAATGAGGGGTGGATAAACTAAACCAAAGGTGTACAAAATGCTTTATGGATAATCACTAGTTAGTAAACTAGTGACAAAAACCAGATTCCATGTTTTTTGTGGTGGTTTAGTTTTTTGTTATTTTTGTTTTGTTTTGCATTTTTTCCTTGTATTTTTTTGTTATTAGCTTTTTCTCTGATTTTTTGTTTTATTTGATTTTCACTTTCATTTTTGTTTTGGGGAGAAAGAGGGAGAAAGAACATTAAATTAGGAAGGCAGGGCTGTGTGGAGAATTTGGGAGGTCTTCAAGGTGGAAAATCTGATCAAAATATATTACATTGAAAATGTAATTAAAAACCAAAATGCAACTATAAGAAAGAGAACCATAGAACACGTGAGTTTTAAATGAAAATCAAAGTACAGACAGGAATTACTGGTCAAAGAGATCACAGAAGTGAACAAAACAGTATAGGCTATTGCACTGTTCTTGACTATCCAATATAAGTACATAGTAAGACTGTGATGCTAAAAACAGCACACACTTTGACATTACGACATAGGTAAATCAGTCTCAAGTCAATCAGAAAACATTTTCCCTTGGACTAGCATTCAAATGATCAGAAAGTCCTTTGTAGGCTTCAGAGGGAGAAAAGATATGAATGTCTTACCCAGTGCTGATTCTTGCATGCCACAATACTGACACGCAAGGCAAGGTGTGCCCCATGGAACTATCATTATAGGATTAAGAAATGCTTTTCTAATGGCCATGAGGTCTTTATCACACGAGGGATGTTATGTTCAGTACTATAATCTAAATCAAAACCCATGATTAGGGAGGTCACAGGCCCTAGGTTGTACAGAGTGGCAGGCCTGCTCAAAGTGCTGAAGAGAAGAGAAAATGTGTTCAGTCCTATGGAGATGTCTTCATCAACCCCTCCCAGCAACCCAAATACTCAGGGAATATCAGTGAAAAGGAAGTGGAAAAAAATGCAACAAACAACCGATGTGGAAAAGCTCTGTGAAATGCTGCCTTCTGGACATGACACGGCTGTCAAATCACAAACTCAGCAGCTGTGGTGACCTATATGCAACCTGAACAGGGTTAAGCCAGCTAAAAGTCCAGCATAGATGGGGAACTGCCCTCTATCCTTTAGTAAATCAGTATTGTTAGGTAGGTGACAGCTCTTTGGAACAGAAGACTCATTCTTTATTGGGTGCTTGGATTGCTTGCTGCAGTGAATGTCCTAAAACCATACACTAATTGATAGACAGTATCAATTAAAAAAAACTTAATACTTTAGCGTACAGTCAGGAAAAGGTTCAGACGGCAACTAAAGGGTGACTATGATCAAATTTCATCCTGTATATTACGATATTTTCAAGAAATATTATTAAGAAAATAGTGAGGATCTTTCTACTAGATTGGAAATGGATCTTATACACTACAACACTTTGAAATGGAAAGTACACATTAACATATTCTCACACTTATAAATAGCAAACAATTATATACAGTAACTACAGAAACAAGCCCAGTGAAAATTTGAGATACTCATACTCATTGTATCTGTCAGCGTGATCCAGTTATTTCATGTCATCTTAAGCTTTTGATTTGCTTGTGCCCTGCACTTCATTCAACATACAGTCCTGAGGTGTGTTCAGTATTACAACACTATCGGTCAGCTTCTAGACCTTTACTCTTCCCTGTATAACATTTAATCAAACAATGTAATATCCATCTTGTTCTTACCCACGAGTTCCATAGGAAATGAGGAAAGCCATGTGAAATAAGAAAAATGCCTTTGCTCAGATTTAAACAGGGTCTGTACTTTCACTTCTCAGCTGCACAGACACAATCACACAGAAACTATATTAATTACAATATTGTTTGGCCAATGTCTTAGGCTTCTTTCTGGTTAGCCCTATCTATTAACCCATTTCTATTAATCTGTGTATTGCCACAAGGTTGTGGATTACTGGTGCAGCATGCTATTTCTTCAGCAGCTAAATGGCATCTCTCTCTATCTCTGCTCATATTTCCCACCTGGCTTTCCTCTGCTAAGCCACTGTCCAAAACAGCTTTGTTCATTAACTAATAAAGGCAACACATATCTAGAAGGACATCCTATATCACACACAATCCTCCCAAATCATGTACCACTGTTAGAGTGTGAGTGTTCAGGAAACTCACCGGCTATCTGGATCATCATCAATCCATTGCCATTTGTTTTTTCTTGCATTATACAATAATCCAATCCAGTAACTATTTGGATTAACTTTGAACTGAAGGAACTTCTGTAAGGAAAAAGACATATCTAATGATTAAATTTCCTTCTATTTTGGAGAAAGAACAACATAACACATCGTAGCTATTTTTATGTCAGTTCTCTGCTGTCCTGTCCTCTAGTCCTTTAGTCCCTCTAAATTCATTTTCAAAGTAATTTCTCACATGTATCTCATTTATGCAAAAACCAGTAAATTGCATAAGTTATTTAAAAAGAAAACAACAGGTATCTATCTAGAGACACCAGATTCATGAAATGATTTGTGACTGTGTTTCTCCAAGAAAGTTTCATTGTGTAGCCAAGGCTGTCTTTGAATTCACAATCTCCCTTATTCTGACCCCTAAATGAATATTGAATAGAGCTCCTTAAATAATGAAATTATGAAATCGTTCAAATTAACATTTCAGAAGACTACATGAGCCTGTGGGAAGTGTTCACCATAAGTGACCCTCTGTCTTCAAACCAAATTCATTAAAATGAAAAATCCCCCACTCCATAAAAGCAGCAAACTTCATTGACACATGTTCTGTCCACACTAGTCTGTAGAGCAGATAAGTGACCTTCCTGCCAGTCAAATAGCACCACTTTGCACATTGCTTCTCAAGACCCATAATGAGGTCCTTTACCACACACCTCATCACCAGCCCCACTGCTGAGCCCTGCCTCCAAGTCTGGCAGAATCATATTGAAAAAGAGTAAACCACACCAAACAGAAAAACCAATCCACATGAGTCAGAAGAACAGAGATACCCCTCACTACAACAAAGGGCAACCTAATCACCAGAAAAAAACAGATCCAAATTTAGACATAGACTCTCTATCATATCAAAGGTCTTACTGATCACCAGAAATTCAGAAAAAACAGAGATGAGAAGAACAAAAAAGGAAACAGAAACCATGGAACAAAACATCCATCTAACAAAGACAAACTCAGATATCCATAGCTGGATCTATAATTATTTCAAAACCAAACGCCTACATGACAACATAAGAACAAAATCAGTAACAGTCAAGGCAATAGGGAACCACCAGACCCGAGCTACACTATGACAGTAAAACCTGTATATTTCAAGGCATCTGAAACATAAGAAAACAATCATAAAAATAATTTATGAACATAATAGAATACCTTGAAGAGGAAATGAGAAACTCCCTTAAAGAAATCAATAAATCCCTTAAAAAATGTCTAGAAAACAAAGAAAAATAATGAATGGGAGAAGGAAACTATTAAAGATCTGAAAGCTGAAATTGAAGCAATAAGTAAAACACAACCAACAGAGTTCTCAAAATGGAAAATCTGGGTAACTCAACAGAAACTAAAAGTGCAAGCATTGCCAAAGAATATAAGAGATGGAAGAAAGAATCTTATGTGCTGAAGATATGATGGAAGAAATAAATTCAGTGATCAAAGAAAGAGTTAAATCTAAAAAAGCTCCTAACATGAAACATCCGGAAAGTCTAGGACACTGAAAAGGACAAACTTATGAAGAGTGGGACAGGAGAAAAATCCCAGCCCCGAATCCCAGATACTACATTTAAAGAAATTACAGAAGAAAAATTTTCTAACCTAAAGAAAAAGGTTAGGAAAGTATAAGAAAGAAGATTATACCAAATAGATTAGATCAGAAAAGAAAATCGTTCTGGGCAACGGTGGCAAACATCTTTAATTCCAGCACTGAGGAGGCAAAATCAGGTGGTTCTCTGTGAGTTTGAGGCCAGAGTATTTACAGAGTGAATTGTAGCTACTGAAAAACCGTATCTCCAAAAACGAGAGAGAGAGAGAGAGAGAGAGAGAGAGAGAGAGAGAGAGAGAGAGAAAGTTAGAGAAAGAGAGAGGGAAGGAAGGGGAGGGAGGGAGGGAGGGAAAGAGAGAGAATGGGAGAGGAGAAGAAAAGAAAATCCCCAAACAGCAAGGTAAAAGGACCAAGTTGTCATTGTTTTTTTAACTGTGTAGTACTCTATTGTGTAAATATACCACATTTTCTTTATCTATTCTTTGTTTAAGGGGCACCTACATTGTTTCCAGGTTTCATTACAAATAATGTTTCCATAAACACAGTGGAGCAAATATTCTTGTGGTATGAGTGTTCATCATTTGAGCATATGCCCAAGAGTGGCATTGTTTGGTCCTGAGATAGACTGATTCTCAGACTTCAGTGAAACTGCTATAATTGCCATACTGGTTTACAACATGACTGTACAAGCTTACACTCCCACCAGCAACACCTCTCCAGAATAGGCCTTCATTGGTGTTTTTGATCTTAGTCATTCTAACTGGTATAACTTGCTGTCTCAATCTCATTTTGATTTGCATTTCCCAGATGGCTAAAAATGTTAAGCTATTTATCGAGTGTCTTTCAGTCATTTGATATTCTTTTGTTGAGAATTCTCTGTTTGGATATGTACCCTATTTTTAAATTGTATCATTTGTCATTTTAATGTCTAGTTGCTTCATTTTTTATATATTTTGGAGATTAGTCCTCTGTCCAATGTGGAGTCACTGAAGATCTTTTCCCATTCAGTAGACTGCCATGAATGATCCATGCTGAGTCCCTAAGCAATAGTGGAAAGGGTGCCTCAACTGGCCTTCCCCCGCAACCAGATTAATGACTACCTAGAGACTTTAGCAACTAATGGATGCAGATGCAGAGATCCAGTGCTAAGCACTGGTCTGAGCTTCTGGAGACAAATTGAAGAGAGGAAGTAACAATAATATAAGCAAAGGAGTCAATACCACGTTCGGATACCCACAAAATCAGAAGACCTGAGCTAGTGGGAGCCCACTGACTTAGGACTGATAATGAAGAAACCTACATAGGACCAAACTATGAATGTGGTGATGGCTTTGTGGGTTGGGCAGTCTGTGGAACCACCAACAGTAAGACCAGGTATTATCCCGAGTTCTTGAATTGACTTTTTGGAGCCCAATCTTTTTGAAGGGATACATGACTTACTAAGTATGGGGTCAGGGCCTCAGTCCTGCCTCAAAGTGAGGTGTCAGACTTCGTTGACTCCCCATGAAAAGTCTTGCTCTCTATGAGGTACAGATGGGGAACTGAAGTGAGAGGAAAGTAAGGAAAGCAAGAGGACGGATGGAAGGGAGTGGGAACTGGTACAGGTATGTAAAATAAGAAAAGATCATTTTAAAATAAGTTAATAAAGTTAAAAGAAGAATATATGTGACTTTAATTAGAGAACTATAAACTGATTGTTATAATTCTATTATCTTGAGACTTGAGTATCTTTCAGTGTTGAACAAATTTGCTAAGCATGAACAGGGATGTTAATTTTATTCCCATTACTATAAGAGTAGAAAGATAGATAAAATACTGTCAAAACCCAAGTAATATATAAAGGCACACCTATTAAAATCATACAAAACTCTTCAATAGAAGTTGAAAAAGACCAGAAAGGCGTGGACTAATGTCATCGAGATATTAAGAGAGCACAGGTGCCAGTGCAGACAACTCTACTCAGGAAAACTTTCAATCACCATAGATGGAGAAAACAAAACATTTCATGACAAAGTGAAATTTCAACAATATCTATCTACAGACAGTCCTACCAGAAGTACTTGAAAGAAAATTTCAACCCTAGGAAGTTAACTACATCTGTAAAGCACAGGCAATAGATAATCTGACAGCAGCAAAACCCAAAAAGGGAAATACATATACACACATACAAAATCATACATGCACAAGCACAAAAGCACACTACCACCAACAACAATGAAAAAAATAATAGGAATTAACAATTACTGGTCACTAATTTACATCAATATCAATGGACTCAACCTCTCAATAAAAAGATGCAGTCTACCAGACTGTTTGAGTATGAGAACAGGATCCACCCATTTGCTGCATACAAGAAAAACACCACAACATTGCCTCAGAGTTAAGGGTTGAAATTTTTTTCCATCCAAATGGACCCAGAAGGCAAGGTAATATAGGTATTCCAATATCTAACAAAACAGAATTCAAACCAAATTTACCCAAAAGAGATGGAAAGGAGCATTTCATACTTATCAAAGGAAAAATCCACCAAGATGATATCTCAGTTCTGAGTATCCATGCCCCAAATGGAAGAGCAACCTCGCTTGTAAAAGGAAGATTACTAAAGCTTAAATGACACATCAAACCCCACATATTAAGGTGGGGGGACTTCATTGAAAAACACCATGGGGCTAACTTGTAAAAACCATTTATTACATAGATCTTATATAATTTCCATTTTGCAAATGGGTCTAGTACTCAGGTAATTTCTCTATCCAGCTGATTCCAAGAAGAAGGCACTAAGCTCCAGACAAATGTAGTTGGCACTTTGTGGAACTAAATAAATGTCAGTCACTGGATATTATATACTAAAGGGTTAAACTTATTCAGGAAAAACTTGCTTCTCTGAGGGATCCTCTTGCAGAATCCTGAGAAAGGGAGGAGATTGCAAAGAACGTTGTCTCTTAAATATCAGGTCTCTTTGTAAAAGACCCTGTAGCCTGACAGTAAGCCAGAAGCAGGAGTGAGTTCTGGGAGACTCTTACTGCACAGATTTGTTCACATTACAGGTAAACTATACAACCAAAAAATTACTTGCACTCAGTGTCTCACTATCCAAGATCAGAGACAGAGTCTAAAATAAAAAGTAAGAGTGTACGATACCAGTTCATCATCATCATCTATCTTCAGAAGGGACAAGCTGATGTACTGACATGTCTGTTTACATCCAATCCAGTGTTTATTTGCCAGGATGAAATAACATTTTATGCCACAGCAGAAAAAGTGTCTTTCAACATATTTGCCTACAACAGAGAAGGTGATTAAACTTCTTAATTTCTGACATATTGTTATCAGAGAAATGCATTTATTAAGCCTCTATAACTAAGAAAAATATTAGCTCTCAGATGTTAAGATTCTAGAATGCAGTGAGACTCCTGTACACCCATGCTTTATGCAATACTGTTTATAACAGTAGAAATATGGAAACAGCTGATGTGTCCATTGTGGATAAATCAGTACCAAAAATATAGCAAATGAACACAAAAAAATACTGTTTATCCTTTAAAGGGAAGTAAATCTGCTGGGCATGGTGGCTTATTCCCATGACCTGAGCACTCACTCCAGAGAATGAGACAGGAGGACTAGCAGTTTGAGGCCAGCCTAGGCTAAGTATAGGTAACTTCCATACTAGCCTTGGTTACAAAGTAGATTCTAAGATAGCCTGGGCTACAGAGCATTAACACCTCAACATCACCAATACAGATGCTGACGACTGTGACAAACAGATGAACTTGAGTATGGTGTGCAAAATGAAACAAACCAGGCCCAGAACTAAATTTTATGACTCAACTCAGATTGATGTCGGAGGTCCTTCTATGTATTGTTTTTATTGGTTAATGAATAAAGTAACTGCCTTGGGCTGTTGATAGGGCAGAACATAGGTAGGCAGGGAATACTGGGAGGAAGAAGGGCAGAGTCACAGAAAGATGCCATAGAACTGCCACCAGAGATAGATGTCCTGAAACTTTGTTGGTAGGTCATGACCTTGTGGTGATATACAGATTAATAGAAATGGATTAAATTAATGTAAGAGGTAGCCAATAACAAAATAGAGCTAATGGGCCAAACAGTGATTTAATTAATAAAGATTCTGGGTGATTATTTCAGGTCTAGCCTAGCCAGGAGGTTGGGATCAACTAATGACCCTTCTCCCAACATCAGATGAAGGTTCTAACACAGCCCAAGCCTAAGAAACAAAGCCAGCTGATACACAAAGATCTTGAGGGTGGAGAACAAACACTTTCTGCTCAAAGACTGTTGCAAGAATTACAGAATTCTAAATTAATAGTAATGCCCTGTGGCCACACTGGTTCACACATACTGTGCATTTAGAGTTATGCTGTGATTTATGTTCGATGCTCTTATTTCAAGAGATATAAGAGATATGAGAGAGCTAGTGAAGGTGATAGTCTGTTCTGATTATATTGATGCATTCAACAGTACACCCACATACCTAAACATGTCAACTTGAAAACAATAAAATGTGTCCAGTTTATGTAACAATACCACCACAATACAATTATTTTGTTTATTGAGGAGATAGGGGTGGCCATGTTCAGTTACCAAACTTTATCTTCAATCTTTATTTTCCTATGAAGAGTTATCATTGTATAGCTCAGGCTGGCCTAGAATTTGTTGGGCTACATAGACTGTTCTCAATTTACAATCCTTCTGCCTCGGCCTCCTAAGTACAGGGATTATAGTGTTAAGCTCTCATTTATAGATGATAAAGTTTTTAAAAAAATAAATAATAACACAAAATATTTTTTATGGGTTTGGAATATTTCAAAAATTTTTTGGAGCTTTTCTTTCCTGTCACATATTTTACAGTGTAGCAATTATAAAGATATCATCAATTCTTGCATAATGAAATTGTCAATACGTACTATCATAGCACAGTATTATCATATACAAAAGCATTTTGTACACTCTAAAGACTGAACAATTATTTAATAATTATTGATCAGTTGTATCAATTAAAGATAGCCAGTCATGATGTAAAATAAAAAAAATTCATAACACTTGATATGTTTGTCTTTCAGGTGTCATTAATAGTGTTACTGTTAGAGGTGCATGAATGTGAACAGCCATGGTGAAACTCCAATTTTAGCCTCAGGGAGGATATCTTAGTCACAAACAGAGCAACTTTGTTATAATAAGTCAGAAGAAAACACACACAAGCATAGTTATTTCTGTGATTGCTTCCATGTAACTGCTCTATGTTCATTTTAACCTGAATATTTTGTAAATACATTCTTACTAAAAACTTCATGTTCTGACAAAAACAAAGTTGGAGATTCAGATTTTTCCATAAGCAAAAATGACCTCATTTGTTAGCTGTGATGAATTGTAATTCCATGCACTGGTAGCAGTAGGGGCACCAGATAACCCCTAAGTTCTATATACTACAAGATTATCCTAACCTAAACAAGGATTTCCAGGGTTCCTTATCCCTACATGAAGTAATAAAATCTCAATATTTAATCCACAGACCACCAGTGGTAAAAATAACTACCTGAACTTCAAATCTTCTGGAGAAGAATCAATACAAAAAAGTGAAATACTTTATTCAAGATCCCCTCCATACCTGTGAGCTCTACGCAGTCCAAAACTTTAGTTTTCCCACAGCATTTGTTCTGTTCTCTGTTGGAGGAGTCAAGTTCCTTCTGATGTTTGAGGTCATCAAACTCTCTAGACTTATTTCTCAGCATTTCTTTCATTAAGGAGTTGGTACTTTGCAGGATGTGATACTGTTGAGTGAGGTTGTTTAGAGCTTTCTGCAGATTATGGTTTTTTTCACTATACTGAAAACCTAAAATTAGTAGCAGATATAACACCAAAAAATGTGCATAAGGAATAAGTATTAAAATAAAAATACCAACATATATCATTACTTTAATTTGTATGTTAAAGTTTAGAAATTAACAAATCAGTTAATTTTAGAAATTGAGGTTGTATACAGTTTTTTGCAGTTTGTATTTTTTCTTGGCTACACTGAAAAAAATTAAATTAGTAGAAGATAAAATAAAAATGCTTATAAAGTGTAAATATTAAAATTTAAGGTTAGAGAAAATTTTCCTGCTGACAGCCAATACATACCATTATTTTGATTGCTATTTTGACACTTGTAAATTTTTTTTTTGCTTTAAAAGACTGGCTTTAATGATGCTGCTCTGATCCTTTTGTTTCCACGGGATAATTGAGAAGCCTGGAAAAATGGTACAAGATATTACAGAAGCTTAAAAAATACTACACAAGCAATTTAGTAATGTATTATGAACATAGAGAATAAAATGTAAAACCAGGAATTATTAAGTCTTTCTAGTATTCAGAATAGAATGATATGTCTCCTAAAATCATATTTCCTAGTGTATTTTGAGACAATATTGCTTATAAAGTTACCGCCAATGATTTTAATGTTCATGTGAACTCTGTTTAAGACATGCCTGTTTGCACACACGTTTGTGCATGTATTTATATCTGAAAATGTTTATATATTTGTACATACATGCCTTTTATATTCACACATATTTATAGATACACATATATGTGTATGTTTATATAGAGAGATATTGAAAATAACCCTTTTTAAAAATAATTGTTTCTTACACTTTTTCTAAGTTGTCATATACTTATTCTGAATCTATGAAACATGAAAATTATAAGGCAAATGTAACATGCAATTGATTTTAGAAACATAACAACCACTTCACCCTTCTCATCTTTTGCCCAGGATCTATAGCTGTTTTCAAAGACCTCATGAAATAAACTAATCTATTGGAGCATCTCTGTAATTCTTTTTTTTATTAATTAATTTATTTGTTTATAAAAATTTCCACTTCCTCCCCTCCTCCCCATACCCTCCCATTCTCCCCACTCCCTCTCCTCCCCCCCCCCACTCCCCTCCTTCCTTTCCAGTCCTAAGAGCAGTCAGGGTTTCCTGCCCTGTGGGAAGTTCAAGTTCCTCCCCTCTCCCTCCAGTTCTAGAAAGGTGAGCATCCAAACAGACTAGGATCCCAGAAAGCTAGTACATACAGACAAAACAAGACCCAGTGCCATTGACAATGGCTTCTCAGTCAGCCCCCATGTCAGTCACGTTTAGAGACTCTGGTTTGATCACATGCTCGTTCAGTCCCAGTCTAACTGGCCTTGGTGAGCTCTCATTCGATCAGTCCCCTTGTATCCGAGGGTGAACACATCCCACACGGTTCTGATTTCCTTTTTCATGATCTCTCTCCTTCTACTCCTCATTTGGACCTTGGGGGCTCAGTCCAGTGTTCCAATGTGGGTCTCCGTCTCTATCTCCATCTATCGTCAGATGAAGGTTCCCTCTAGTCCTGCCTTTCTTGCTCACGTTCTCCCTCCATCTGCTTCTCATTTGGACCTAGGGAGTTAAGTCCAGTGTTCCAATGTGTCACACTTGTAAATTAACACTTCAATTAACTCACTATAAGAATGGAACAATGAACTCTTCAGTATTGGGAGCTTTAGGGTAAGATAGCTAAAAATATTGTGGTGGAAACACCTTATGTTCTGATTACTTCAATTTTTCACAGCAAAAAAAACCCCTAACAAACAAATACTTAAGTAAAATAGTCAGAGACACCTAACACAGCATGAAAATTTGAACTAAGAAACATGAAGTAATAGCACAGTTATCATCGGAGCATATGGACTACCCATCATAGAAGAGACAATAATATGGAGATTTATAGCTTTGTTGGAGCTTAGTCCATAAGTGATTTTCTCTATGAATGTGAGGACATCAAACAAAAGGTAAAGCTGAGGTTCTTGAACTTCTAACTTCTGTGGACAGATTCCATCTTTTCACTTAACCATGTCCTCGATATCCATAAGACAATATAACATATTTTGTACAGCTATTTTTTACAAGTTGTCTATGTCAGATTCAAAGTCATCAGAGCTACGGAAGCAGAATATCAGCAACACAATTATCACAGGGAATATTATTATGAATAAGACAGAATACGTTCAATGCAGCCCCAGAGTCACTGTAATGACCAAGGGTTCAGGAGTCTAGGAGAAAACAAAAAACTTTCAAATTCCGGGATACCTGAAATGTCACCTGATGACAGACAAAATAATTATATTCTGTGGCATGATTAGTGTTTATTGGTAGTACCTAGACAAATGATGTATATGAATTACTCACTGTATGTCAGCCACACTGCGATTGCCATCAATAGAAGTAAGCAAAGGATCCCGAGAGCCACTACAATGAGATGTAAGGAAATTGAACACTCTAAAGACATTAGAACTGGTAAGAGAATCATCACCAGGACCAACCCATCATTCACCGCTAGCTATAACCTGGAGCATCATGTGACAAAGGGATGACAAGCTCTAATGTTTTAAGTGAAATTCCAGAATACAAACTAACTCCTACACCTAAGGTTCAGGGAACAGCTCAGAGGAGAGGACTAGAGATTGTAAAATACAGAGACTCCAAACAGGGAAGCTGCAATCAGACAATCTCAAAAATAGTGTAACCTAAGCAACACATGCCAATATGTACAGGGGAAATCTCCAGACAACCCCACTCCTAGATGAAGAGCTCTAGATAATTGATGACAGGTGAGAGAGAAATTAGATCTCTTGTAGGAATGAGCTCGTAAGTGGATATCTAATACCAAGTGATCAGTTCTAAAACATACACTCTTGTGAACAGCACTAAATGGAATGACAGATTACATATATGTAACATAAGTAAACATGTAACTAATAATTAAAGGGAAAGGAAACAATACAGACAATACATCAAAGTAAAGGCATTAGAAGGTACTGGAAGGGTAACAGGGAAAGGGGAATTGGATATAATAGTTATGGATAACAATGATCAGTAAATTATATTCATATACAAAAGTCATCGTGAAACCCTTTATTTTATATAATTAATAAATTCTAATAAACTCTAAAATGTTTAAGTTTTATATTTCTGGATGACATATACCTATTCTGTTTATACCCTATATATAGAAGAAGTTCTCTGGGAGTTTAGATAATTTTTGCCCATTCAGCCTTGACTCAGTCTCACAGGAAGCTGCAATGACGGACTTAAGCTGCCTCTTTCAGGTGCACACAGTTAGTTCACCTCACAAAGCACTGAAGGCATAAGCAAAATGCAGGTAGGAAACTCAGCATAAAGAGGAAAGAAAGATCAACCCCGAGGAACCTTGAGAAACTGGTAGCCAGTCTGAAAATTCTGAACTCTATGAGGGTCCATTATAAAAGAATTCCTAGAAGTCAGCTCTTTTCCTGTCTATCAATTCTGTTTTTCTCAGGAAAATAAGATATTTATCCTTGTGTTTGAGGTCTTGGGTTGGTTCTAGGGTCCCGCAACTCCTTATCATCACACTAATGTGGCAAAGGTGTTCAGATTAGTGTTTAAAGGGGACAATATTTGAAGGACAAGAGAAAAAGTGTAAAGAATTTAGACCTCTCTTCTGACCTGACTGCTGATGCTGATGCTTGGCACTGAAGTTTGATGAACCACTTGGAATATCTTGTTTAGTAAGAGCTTTGCTCTCAACATTTTTTTTTTTTTGGCAGGGTTTCTCTGTAGCTCTGAAACCTGTCCTGGAACTAGCACTTATAGACCAGGCTGGCATCGAATTCACAAAGTTCTTCCTGCCTCTGCCTCCCACGTGCTGTAATTAAAGGCGTGACCCACCACTGTCTGGCTATACTTTTCATTACTTTAAGATTGTGTTCCTCTAGAAAATTCAGTGTTTCTTCAGAATGTAGTTTCTCTTTCTAAAGGCCTCACATTTTAAATCATATTTTGATAAAATTAACTAAAACTTGTTGGTTTCTCAAATTTGTAAAAATGTATTCTAAGCAGGCTAGGTGACTCACAACTGTAATCCCATAACTTGAGAGGCTGTGCTAGGAGAGTCAAAGATTCTGGGCCACTGTTCTCCACATAGTACAATTAAGTTTGGTCCTGGTTACTTGACACCCTGATTCAAAAAGCAAACAATAAAAAACTAACACAAAGCAAAATAAATTATTGATTTTTCCAGTCTCAAAGGTCATTTCTTTAAAAAGCTTGTAAGTCTTCACTTCTTCCTATGGTGATCTACTATTTCCAGTTGACAATAAGAAGTACGGCTAGAACAGCTTTAAATGTCTGGTATGTATAGTGCTTAAGAGGAAAGCATTCACCTTTGTGGCCAGCCTCTCTTGGACCTTGAGTCTCACGAGGACTGGCTGTACTCTGTGATTCTGAAGAAAACTCAAAATCTCTTGAGGTTGAATATGTCACCTGCTGATTCTTCATCTTGGATGGAAGCAATGAAGGTTTAAATTATAGTATTGTCTTGAAATGATGTCTAGGTAAAGAAAAAGTTAGAATGCCCAAGTTTAGAATATTTTAGAATTTGATGCTGGGGTAAGGTGGAAAATTACTAACTCCTTTAAGGATCTGAATTCTGTAAAGAGTGTGGAAGGTGACTGACTTCCACAACATATGATGAAACTTTTTAACTAGCGTTCACATCAATGATTGTTTGGGGATATGGTAAAACACCCTGAATTTCCAAAGAAAGATTGAATGGTAACATGGCCATAAGAATGTTTGACAAAACTGGTGCCACCTAAGCAACTGACATGTTTTAAAATGATTATCAACACATCAAAAACTATAAACTTGCCTAAAGACAAATCTCTTTGCTTTTAAAGCTTTTGTAAATTGTGTGATACTCACATGGATATAAAATGATTTAGTCTTCTTGTGACAATTTTTATAAAGTGTATGCTGGAAACAATGTCCAAAGAAAATTCAAATCATATCCCAGATGTGATAGTAAAAGTCTCCTTTGTAAAAGCCAAAACACCTGTACTCATAATCACAAAAGATTCCATGGACATGAACATTCAACAAAGGAAAGTAAAATGTATAATGTTATTTGAGCGTCCTGTATAAAACTAAAATTTTTCTACAGTGGTACCTGACTTTTGTCCAAGCACGTGGGAATCTGAAGCAAGAGAATCTCTATGGCCTGAAAATCTAGATATTAAATTTCCAAAGAGATAAGACTACAGAAAGAGATTCTTTCTCAAAAAATAGAAAGAATGAATGAAAATTTGTTAGTAGGCATCCATAAATACTCATAAATTATTCATCTTAGGATAGCAATGAATATACAAATTATTAAATCATAAGTAATTATGATTTACTTTACCTCTTCTATTAAAGAGTATTTGAAGGCGCAATGAATAAAAAGGTAACATTAAAAATTGTTGATGGACTCTATTCATTTCTAGTATATCTAACACATTTTAATTGATAAAATTTTCTAAACTCATTTACAGTTTTCCTAATTCTCTAGAAATAAAATGGATTCCTATTATAAAATCTACAAAGTGCACAAAAAGCTATGTAAATCACTTGAACTAGTCATAAAGTAATTCTACTAATCATGATCACTCTCTTTACATCACTCACAAGAAAATCGTAGCACAATAAATGAAAATTCCTTTCTTGAAGTTTATCTCCAATGTTTACAGGCAGACAACGCAGTTCTAACATGATCAATTGTCTTTCTTATCTCTGTCACCACCATGCAGGTCATTTGTAGCTGAATGACATTTCTCTAGAATAAGTATGATCCTGTGATAGAGAAATCTGAAGGAATCAAAGTGGCAGTTACCTGTACCCCAATCAGGTGGCGATGCAGGTGGTGAGGAACAAGTTATATCCCCTCAGAGACTCCAAAGAAAGCACAGAAGAGAGTCCTTCTACATGATGCTTCTGCTCTTAAAGTTCTGCCCCTCCTCTTGACCAAAACAAAAAGAGGAAATTGTATGTTGAGTGCTGATATTGAAAGATAAGAAACATGAGCTATGCATTCCTGCATATGAAATGATCCCCACTTCATGTGCAGAAGAATCATGTTTGTAATCAGTATTTGGTGACTGAAAGGATAAAGGAAAATATGCTTTGCTAAAACACTTCCAATATTTTCTGGTAAACTGTAATATACTTAAAAGAAGCCATTGTTTATTTTGGTTTTTATTTATTTTTTTGTTTTGTTTCGTTTTTGTTTGTTTTTCGAGACAGGGTTTCTCTGTAGCTTTGGTGCCTCTCCTGGATCTAGCTCTTGTTGACCAGGCTGGCCTCGAACTCATAGAGATCCGCTGGCCTCTGCCTCCCGAGTGCTGGAATTAAAGGCGTGCACCACCACTGCCTGGAAGAGAAGCCATTGTTTAGAAGAGATGACTGAGACAGCACTATTTGAATATGAGGGTGTATAGAATAAATGGGATGACTAAGCTCTTCAGTTCCAAATTTCAATACTTTTCAGGAATTTTACTTTAGATTAATATTTATTTATATTTCAGAGAAAATATGACTTTTTGTTTGTCAATTGTGTCTATTGGAAGTTAATGTATGTTAGGAATGTCATAAGACAATCACATTTCCATTGTGATTTTCTTGGTCTTTACTGATCTACCCTTTAATCCACACGTGTTTACAATGAAAGTTGATGTCCTTACACATTAGGTGGCTTCATTCCTGTATTTTCAATGAGGCTGGGCTATCAAACCCAAGGTCCATGGAGATGGACCATGAACTACATGCTCAACTTTGGAGGGCTTGCTTAGTTGTTTGTTTGGTTGTTTGGTAGTTGGTTTGGTTTTTTTTTTGGTTTTGTTTTAGACAGGGTCATGTTGTATAACTAATAGTGGTCTAAAACTCACTATGAAGCCGAGGCTAGATTCAAACTCAATATTCTCCTGTATCAGTCTCCTCAGTTCTGTGTTACAGATATACATTACTTGAGCAGTTTACACTGTGTGTGTGTGTGTGTGTGTGTGTGTGTGTGTGTGTGTGTGAAGTGTGTGGTTTGTATATAATGCATATGATAACTTCACTATGGCTATATAAACAAAAACTTATATGCAACAAGGCATGGCAAAACATTGCTGCAATCCCAGGAAGCAGACTCAGGAGAATACTCAGAAGTTCAAGGAGTTTCATGACACCTAGAGCTCTTAAATGAGACCTTATCTGTAAAACACCACTCCTCTCAGAGAGCAGGTGTCATAAAGCAAGTCCATCCATCCCGTTCATTTTACACATGCCTGTCTTCAACTATCACCCTTCACTTTATTTTGTGGGTTGGCAAATGTTAGGCCTCATGCCAAATGATGATACCCGACCATGAGATTTTCTACCTTAAGAAAGCTACACTTAAGCAAGCCTCTTTTCATTACAACTTACTCAGTCTATTGCTCTGTTACAGCAACTGTAATGAACCAGCATACACAATGGGATAGATTCTCTATCTATCATATCAAACTGGGAGTGGTGGTTAGTATTGTGGACTTGACAAGATCAAGCAGAGATAAGACTTGGGCACAACTGTTAGAGATTATCTAGGCTAGATTTAGTTCTGAACAAGACTATGAAGGATTATATTTGCTATGTCAATCGAGGTGGGAAGATCCATCCATTGTAGCTGGTGTCATTTTCTTACACTGGGATCCCAGACTGTATAAAAGAAGACAGCAAGCTGAGTACAATCACTCATTAATTGCTCTCCGTTTCTTGCTATGATGAAATGTGATCAGTTGCCTCAAGCCCCAGCTACAGTGACTTCTTTACCACGAAGGACTATAAACTTGAACTGTGAGTGAAAATAAACCCTTCATCCCCTATGCTGGCTTGTCTATAATTTATCATAACAGAAAAAGAACCTAAGATGCTGGGAGGCCAGGTGTTTTGTTTTGGTCAAGAATAGAGACTATAAGTGAAACTGAGGATCTGAAAAATTCACAGCAGTGAGAAACTGCTGTTCTAGAAAACACCACTGATTACCTCAGGTATGAAGATTCACATCAAACTGTTTACAGAAAGGTTAATGCTGTTGAGACATTTTTCTGATTTTTATCATTGATGGGAGGCTGTGGTCCGCAGGAGGAATATGGAGCAAATGCAGAGCACATTCCCGTCTGTGAGTGTTGTTTGTCTCCTTTCTCTCCAAGACTCTGATACAAGCTCAGTGTTCTTTCATTACTGTCTGTGACAGGAAAATGGACAACAGATATGGTATAAACAGTGTGCTTAACAAACAAGGACAATAATGTGAACAGAAACTAAATAAATGGTAGGAACCAATAACTGGAATGCCAAATAAAGCAACAGCTGCACATTTTATCTTCTGTGTATTATGAAGCTGAGTTTCTAAAAAAGAAAGTCTTCAAATGAAGATGATTATATTGAAGATTGAGTCTCTTCATACGTAATTGTTTGATGCTCACACTGCAGTTCTGTGAGCAAAGTGCAACAAAAAAAAAAAAGGAAGAAGCAAATGTATGGAACTGAATCACAAACTGCTAACAAAACAGAAAGGTGAGAAAATTATAAAATCCTTTTCATTTTCTTTGATTTTTTTAAACTTCACTTTTGTGCAAAAACACATACAGATAAACATAAATATAAATACTCTACTATATACTGATGTTCCTGGCTCCTTGCTGTAAGAACCACTTTTATTTGGGAACATCATATGCCCACTCACTTGTCATGAGACAGCTACCAGGAAGCTATGTACACCAGTGCAGTCACACCTTCTAACCTCTGGTC